TATATATATATATATATATATAAAAGCGTTCCTGACAAAAATTTGTTGAAAAAAAAATTGTGTGACGAGTGGCGACAGTGACTTTTGGGATAGCATATACTAAATACACACTACAGCTATTACTCTTTCAAGGGAATAAACGACAATATAACATACATATTTACATAAATATATTAATAAATACAGTTATGCGAAGTCAGAACAGTACAGGACTACAGACAGACTCACAGTACTGTATTTACAACACAACAAGAGAGAGTATGCATAGCTTGTTGTTATTTTAATCATAATATTTTTAAAAACGAAAACACACTTTCGTTTGTCGGTTCTCACAACATACACTATCTCTGTCGTCGACTCGTCTGTCGTCTGTCGATTATCCCTCTGGAGCAATCTAGTGACAGAGGCCGTTCACTGTTGTAGACTCTACGTACTAGAGTAGATACTCTAGACTTAGAGAGAGATATTCTGAGCACAGAGTAGACCGCAGAGTGACTGTTAGTCATCTTACCTGACTGGGATTGGCTTATTTCAGATCTATGCATATTTGTAATACTGTATACTTTAAAATTAGCGAGAAGAGCGAGGAGAAACTCAGAGAAACCTTTTTTTTTAGAAAGGGAATCTCTTTTTATAAAAATAATTATAAAAACCTTCTCTGAAATTCTGACAAAAAAATAGTATGTGGCATTGTGCCATGTGGCATGTGCTTGTGAGTAAATAGATGTTACTGTAGATCAAATATATGTCATAACCAAATTAAGTTAAATATTTATCTATTTGTTTTAAAAAGACATGTTGGAGTCTCTGGAGAATGTGTGCGCAAAACGAGTTTTATATTGTTTCTTTTTTAAAAATAATAACAAAACATAAGGTCAATATTATAAGTCACAGGTCCCCCCCCCCCCCCCCTGATTTTGGGCTTAAAATAAACCCTAAAACACGGAAGCACATCCGAACCGCCCTAGTTGTGAATTTCAAAGGTTTGTCTGTATTTAAAATGGACTAATTTTTATATGCGCATAGCCTTCTAAAATACAGAATATGCGGCGAGCCGGCGACCGCTATATGTGTGATTTCAAAAAAAGGCAGTTGAGGACTAGTAGAGAGGGCTGGCAAGTGGCAGAGAATCTTAGAGTTAATCGATTAGTATTCGCTATGCGCACTTGAGAAGCTCAATAGCACCTCTGTTGAGTACAACTTTGGCTAGGAAACAAACAATGGGGATTCATTGTCTATATATAACCCAGTGGGGGAATGAGCGAAATATCATTCCCTCTAGCTTGTTTTAAACTGTCAAAGTCTCCAGAGAAGATGTGTATCGCACCCTCGACAACTGACGATGGCTTGACAGCAGTTCTGAGCAACGGAGTGTATGGAGAGATTCTCCGTGCCTTTGATCAGCTCAAATTGAAAGATTCCACACTACACGTACCAAAGTTTGTTGTTGTTGGAGATGAGAATGTTGGCAAGAGTTCAACACTGGAGCGTATAGCTGAATACAAAATATTCCCGACGGGAGTGGGGTTCACCACACGGATGATCACCAAGTTGATGCTCAGGCACACAGACAAGGATGATCAGGTTACCATACGGGTTGTTAATCGGAACTCAGGAAATATTGCTCGGGATAACCTGGACAAACTATACGAATTGAATATACCAGTTGGAAATGACTATCGCAATGGAGAGACAGACATACGAGAGCATGTGTTGGAAATAATCAACAAGTTCACAATTCAGACCGGTGATAATCTGACTAAGCAGGTATGAAGCTTAGCAGTTGTGCATGTACCCTACGCGAGGCACTTGAGTGATATTTTCATAATCAAGTTATTGCATATCAATTGACGACATTTACCCAAATTCAAATTACAATCCATAGGATGTTGAAATGGATCACGAATTTCAAGTCGAAGTGCAATCTTCTCGTGTCACTACTTTAGATCTGTATGATATGCCTGGTAAGTGTGTTGCCTTATTCCTGCTTATTCTTGCTTGTGTGTTTTATGCCGTCCGCGTATATTTGCTCCGACAAAAAACCCCCCCACCTGGTATTGAACTCAATTGTCATATTTAAATATGAAATACAACTGCAGGTATAGTATCAGACCCCCCAAATGTTGCTAAAAATACTCGACGGTTGACTATGGGACAATTAACTGATCCGAATGTGATAGCAATATGCGTACTCTCAGCGCAAACAAACTTACGCAATTTCAATATCTTGAATCAGGTGTGTTGGTCTTGGTGCCATTTTGATTGCTATGAGTTCGTTATAGGAGCCCCGGTGAGTTGGTCATTACTACGTGCACACAATTTTTACTTTGTGAACTACCGTTAGAATCTCCTCATGTCAAGAAAAATTTAAAAATTATCCTACAGATCCGTGAAGCTAATGAAAGACGAGCAGGGGAGACTCTGCGTGCTATTGGGGTACTAACTCATGTAGATAAGTCTACTCCAGAAAGGGTTAGAAAAATGATAGGAGATTTCTTGCCTCGTTCTCCCTTGCAATCTCTCATTCCATTGATCAATGAGGATACGAATCCTATCGACGATAGAAGCAACGGATATACTGAAAACGATTTTCAGGACGCGGGTTCGGCGGCGTTGGTACAGCACTTGGATTCAGAATTGAGAACTTATATGCGTGACTTTTGGTTGGGGGAGCAGAAGCAGAAGCTTCAACGCTGTAGGGAGGATGTGAACAACAAGATCTCTGCTTTGGGTGCGGTTGCAGATACAGATATGTACAAGAATTTGATTGCGGCTACTGTGCATACTGTTATTAAGCAACACTTCCGAACTATCCTAGAGAATCTTCAAATCGATTCACAGATGTTCGCCACAGCTTTATCAGGACCAAATGCATTTGGCAGCACAGACATCACATTCTCTTGCGTGCCAACGGATCGGTTGAACAAAATCAGATTTTGCTGCTTCTGGAAGAGCAGAATTTCCGACAAGATGTCCTCATTGATAAGTTTGATGATGGACAAGGTGAAACTACGTCTATCGAGCACAAGTCTAAAAGCAGTTCTCATCTCCGGTATCAGTCAACAATATGTGGTTTCGCGATTCTCGGCGATCCCTGGTTTCGTGGAGAGCTTGTTCGAAGAACAATTGAATATGGAACGTAGTTCGATTTCAAGCATTATGAATGATATAGCACCTATATTCAAGGCACCTAACAATATTTCTGGAATTCGCAACGAACTGACAGATGTGTTGGTAGAACACATATTCGCGCCGGTACTTCTATGGTTTGAAAATCCAGCTTTTGTGCGCACTTTAATGGGACATTCGGATTGTTGGGCGGATGACAACGATTCCAAGCGACTTGAACTTCAGGCCAAACTGGTACACATTGAAGAGGCGGAGCAAGTAATCGAAAGTCTGAACGACTCTTGACTAGGTCAAGAAAATGATGATCAAGGTGTCATTAGTCAAAGCGATACGGCGAGCCCAGAGGTATACTGTCCGGTCACTCTAGCAAGCGTATCAGACTTCGATTCTCAACTCGATATACTATATTTTATAAATTGATTTCCGATCGCCTGATATTGGTTCTTAATTTATATGTATGTGTAGCCAATTTCAATATAGCGATTTGAATTGTGGCAGAGACAATGGCTTCTGAGCGTTCTATTTCAAATTTCAATGTACCTTTGTTTGACTCGGTATTTCATGTTACATTTGCTAATGTATGTGCAAGTTGCAATACTCTGATTGATAGCAATCGATCAGAACAACCTAACTTACAATTGTACAACGCTAGAAGGAATGAGCTGTGTGTCCATTGTGATATGTGGTGCAATGAGAGTACACTGTAAATATGTGTCCATGGCGATATGGAGACAATTCGAGTACATGGTTACTTACAGTACTATGAGAGAACGCTGTAATTATGTGCCCATGGCGATATGTAGAGTACAGTTAAAGAACATGGTGATATTTAGTAAAATTCGAGTATATGGTTATATACAGTACAATGAAAGAACGCTGTAATAATGTGTCCATAGCGATTTGTAGTACAATTCGAGTACATGCTTTATATACAGTACAATGAGAGAAAGCTGTGATTATGTGTCCACCGCGATATGCAGTGTAAATAGAAAACATGGTGATATGTAGTACAATTAGAGAACACAGTGTAAGACAAATCCGTATTCTGAATGTCAAAAAAGTATCGAACGTTGTGATCAAGCCATTTAATGCATCGTGATGGATAACTCACAAAGTGGTATGAGGTATGTCTTGAAGTATGATGTCTTGCTGACCTCGGGTCATCTACATTTCCTTACTCATGTCAGAAATATAGCATGTAGTTGCAAGTACACACTCGTATAACACCGCTTGGAAATTGTGCTTCCATTTTAGCTTGAAAACATGACAATGAATCAACTGATAAAGTTGAAGTAATAAATAGAATTGTATATTTATGCTAGCATATTACATATCTCTTATTAGTAGTATCCACTATTGAATGGCCGAAGAGTCAATAGTTCTACTTTGGCGATCGCAACTGCGCGTAGTCTTCCGTGATGTATTCTATTGCGCAATTATTCATTAGCGCTGTGGAGTTTTGTATACATACGTCTCTAGGCCAGAATGAACTAACCTGGTAGTAGTTGCGCATGTCCCTTCGTAAATTCTGCATTTGCTTAAGTGTAGTATTTATCACCGAAAGCGTAGCTGTAGAGTCCCTATTTCTTTTATTGAACTTGAAATCTGTCCGGAACGCTTTTTCCCCATTTGTAGGCCCCCGAGAGATCCTAAATGTAATTTTGTTTCAAAAAATAGAGCATACTTTTGTGGGTCCGTTATTAACGGCTGAAAAGAAAAGTTGTTTTATAAATAAAAAAAGGGGGGGGGGAGTGAGTGTGTTTAAATGTGCGAGCGCGTGTGACTGAATAACAGTGCGTATTTACCTGTGTGTGTGTGTTGAGTGAAAGTGAGGGAGAAAGGGTCCATCATGAAATCCCACCCTGTGCGGATATATTCACAAGTAATTAGCTACCCTCTTTGACGAAACGTTTTTGGTCTCTGCGGCGCCCCAGCCGTGTTTTATTGAAGACTGCCAAATCAATAGCCCTATATCAGCAACTTGTATAGCTCACAGCTGCGTGTACAAGATATAGCATCCTGATGTATTTTAAAAATGCCACCTGTACGATCAGATCTAGCAAGCCATCGTTCGCGAAGTACATCATGTTCTAATTTAGTTTATTTAATTTATTTCTAAGTATGTACTATTTATTTATTTATTACAAGAATGGAGGCGGCAATTATGCCGTTTGGCTTCCTAACGAATCGCCTGATACCTGTGGTTCCAACAAACAACACAAATTTGGCTCAGATATTATCTCGAATTAGGACACAATTGCGTTGTAAATGCAATTGCAGAATAAGCTCAAGTGGACTAACTTAAATATCGTTTGTACTAGGATCGAATGGTTGTGCACGTGTAGTACATCCAACAGAGAGAGAGAGAGAGAGAGAGACCTGGACGCAACAGTATAAAGGGATACCCGCAGACTTATGGCTGTGTAAACCACATGGAGCCACCAAGCACCTTTATCATCATACAAGTATAACTCAACTGAGTACGTATATGTGAATCTGAGCTACGCAACAAAAATGCCTTTCTACTATTGATACTGAACGTTACAGCACCTTGTCTATTGGATGAAGTGTATGAGTAATTTTAAATTAATGAAGTGTTGTTCCTAGTTCACCCTCGACAGATTTTTTTTGACAAAAAACATATATAAATAGGATACACACCCGCGCAGTCTAGGCGTGGGTCACTACAGATCTACTAGTGGTAATTAGATGTACACTTACACCACTTGTATACCAATTGGGGTATATGCACATACAATCACAATCAATGGATCACTATTCCATGGGATGGTTCTGTTGCCTGAGCAGCCAAGGAATTCATTGCCAATAGCCTTGAGAGTGTGATTGGCGTGTTACTCCTCTATCACTGATAACTATCGATAACAATCTTCCGTTGACACCCAATTTGCATTTCAATGTAACCCCACTGATGTATGTATACTGTATAATATATTGGATCAAATGCGTGCGCAAACACAATCCATGACGCATCGTCCCGTATGATACATACCTGAGCAGCCAAGGCATTGTCAATCACTTCAAGTGCGTGGTCGATGTGTTTCTTCTCCACAATTAACGGTGGCAGCATTCGCAGCACATTCGGGCCAGCGGATATCACGAGAACCCCATTCCCTCGAGCTGTGTAGTGTGTGTGTACAGTGTTTCGTATACGTGATTTGAGTAAGAGTGTACTAAATCGCGAGCTCACACATACGGTGCACGTGCGTATATATAGCTGCGTTATGGGCATGCGGACGTTCAAGCATTGGTCGTTATATTAGTTCTATAGCACAAGCACAACAGTCTATAGCAGTTACAGGCACAGTTGTTTGGCGACAAGGTTTACATATAGTCACACGTAGGTGCGTGCATATGGATATCATGACTATTCACACATTGGAATCCAAACATAGGTGTTGTGGATCATCGCGTATAGGAATTTACACACGAGTATCAGTGATAACCACTCAGAAATTCATTCATAGATGGACACATAAATAGTCGCAAATAGATATGTACACATAGGTATATACATAAATAGTCACATTTAGATAGATGGACACATAAATAGTCGCAAATAGACATGCACACAGGTATATACATAAATAGTCACATTTAGATGAATATTCACGCACATAAGATCTTTTCACATGATACTCAAACAGAACGTGCACAATATACACCGACCCACAGACATTCCGACAGAAGTCGTTAATATGTGCTCAGTAAATCCCTAAAACGGGCTAAACTCCATCTGCGTTGTAGCTAACGCACAACACATACAAACATATTGTACACCAAATTCACCTAATGGTGTTCTTATACACGTGTAACACTCCCCAATATAAGGGGTATACAGGAGTCTATTGTAGCTGCCACGCTCGCACACAGGGTAGGCTACAACAGGGTCTTAAACACCTCACACACACAACACGTAAGACGGAAAGGAATCGCATCGAGTGACCAAGAGCAGCTTACCTTTCGTCACCACATCCGCCACCGGGCAGGTCAAAACCATGCCCATCATCAAACCCCTTCCTCTAACCTGAGATACTAGGTCAGGGTACTTGGCACGCAGACTCTCTAGGCCGTTGACAAGGTACTCGCCATTTGCGCGCACGTTGGATAAGAAGGTGTCTGAGTTGATGATATCGAAGGTGGTCTGTGCTGCCGCACAGACTAAGGGACCGCCACTGAAGGTTGACCCGTGATCTCCTGATATGAGCCAAGCGGAAGAACACAACAGAGGGAGGAGAGAGGTTAGCGATTGCTGTGGTACATACAGTAGGTATCAGATCCTATAGGGAAAGGATTATAAGTACATGATAGTGCATGATAGGCAAGTACATGGTAAGCAAAGGATTCTACATACTCCTCCGAATTCTTCATATGATTCGGCATCGCAAAACAGAACGAGGAAGGAGAGTGGGTTGGCGAGTATCACAGTGCACAATGTGACTGATACTATATAACATGGTGTGCATGTAAGGACGGATTATCATAATGTCAGATGAAAACTAAATCATCTTGCCAGATGCCATTGCTATCTCGCATTCAAATCTACCACCTTCATGAGGTCTAACTCACACATGTATGCTCAAGAACTTGTATACTAAACACAAAAACGCGAACGCATATACATAAATATAAATACACACACTCATATATATATATATAGGCAGTGCACAGTACAAGATGACCCACCTGGCTTGATGGTACTCGACACAGCGTCTGTGACCAGCACAGCACCAATGGGAAGTCCTCCAGCCAAGGGCTTGGCAAGTGTCATGATGTCAGGTTTCACGTCAATGGTGTCACTCTCATGACCCCACAGTCGGCCGGTACGACCCAGGCCACACTGCACCTCGTCAAACACCAGCAGCACATTCTTCTCATCGCATATCTGTGGGTGTGCAGAGGTGTGTGGCAGTGTGAGGCTACCGTTATAGTCTTGCTATCCATAGTTTTTGGACTTCGTCATGCATTAACAGCATGATATTCTAATACGGGCAAGTTATACATTTACAAAATTGTCATACCTTCCTCAATGCAACCAGGAACTCGTCTCTGGCGGGTGTGACCCCACTCTCGCCCTGAATGGGCTCAACGACAGCCGCACACGTCTGACTGTCAATGTGCTGTGAGAGCGTCTCTGTGTTGTTGAAATCGGCTGTGTGCACATTGCCGATCAATGGCCTGAATGCGTCCTGCAGTGATATAAAGTTAGGGCAGTCAACGAGGTTAGGAGATAAGAATAAGATGGAAAGAGTTGAATTATTAGGAAACCCCAAAACATGTCACATGCAACAGTACAACATACCTGGTAGTTGGTTTTACTAGATGCATATCTCAATATATATATATATATACGAGTCACATACAACGACACAACATACCTGGTAGTTGGTTTTACTAGATGCATATCTCAATATATATATATATATACGAGTCACATACAACGACACAACATACCTGGTAGTTGGGATTGGGTGTGATGGATAGCGCCCCCATGGTACGGCCGTGAAAGCCGCCTGAAAATGACACTACTTTGTTCTTTTGGTGGTTTGGGTAGTTGACATGAGCCCTGTAAGTGACAAGCGGGTGAATTAGGAGTCGGTTTGTATGTAAAGTAAATTATGATAAGAGTTGTCTATATATATATATACAGATATGCATTCTGCTCATATATATGTATAAATCACGACGATAATTACCGATGGGTAAACGTAATTTTCTTCTTATCACTTCGCCATCTACTTGGCCTATCTAACAACATCTTATCACAGCACCATCTACATATCATGCTTCATTTTATCCACAGAAGATTATTTTATCACGACAACAAAACTACTTCACGCTACCAAACCCATATTTACATGTCCTCATACCTCATATCACTAAACAACCCACTAGACCCTACCACACCAATCACTTTCACTAAACTAAATAAAAAGAAGAGGGTGTTGAGTTTGTGGTACTTCGGGATTGGTGTATTAACCCTACCATACCATTTCCTAGCGAACTTGATAGCCGCTTCGTTTGCCTCTGTGCCGCTGTTGCAGAAAAACACTTTGTCCGCAAACGAATGCTCCACCAGACTCTTCGCCAGTTGGGCGGCGGGTTGTGTGTGGAACAGATTGGAGACGTGTACGAGCTTGCTGGAGTACTCATTCACAGTCTTCACCCATGCCTGTGATAGGGAAGAAGAACGTGAGCATTACATATAATTAGTGCACTGATGTATATATATATATATATAAGCGGCTTGTGCTTGCATTTGTGATATAAATATGTGTGTGTGTCTGTGTATTTGGGGGGCATGTGCACTGTTTGTATGCTATGTTTTTTTCTCGCGCTTATAGGGACGTGCATGTATTATCTGTGTGTATTGGTCTCCTTTACTCAACACATCAGGCATACCCCACGCACATATATAATATGTTACACACACACACACATATATATATATATATACATACATAAACATATATATACACATGTACAAAGTACATAAACACGAACAATCACATACATACACACTGACATTGCCACATACGCATATATATATATATATATATACACTGCAAGTCCGGTCCGATACGCTTATAAGTGAACACAGTGTGTGCAAGTGTGGAAGAGAATATGCATGTAGATGCGTTAGTAGCTGAAGGCACGGGACGCTCACACAATCATACTATTTTTTATTCAAATAGTAGGAAATGAAATGCAGAACACTTATTGTATCACGAAATGGTAAGCGAAGATAGTTGAAAATAAAGGACACTAATACAGTATCGTGAGATAGTATGGTAAGGATAGATAGGTGCTCATGTGGACAGACATACCGGGTGACTGTGTCCCAAAGCGTTTACGGCGATCCCCGCAGCGAAGTCTAGATACTCGCGACCATCACTGAACAAGTGAAATGAGAGAATTTGGTGTTCGGGTGAAAATGCATAAATTAAAAAAAAATCATAAAAGAAATATATATATATATATTCCACGAATTATGGGTTATATTGCTGCTTATACATGCAACTACACATATGGTGATATTGACGCACCAGATTGGCATTCGGACTAGGAGCGTGGTAGATGCGGTATGCGGACTTTCCCATCAAGATATGGCATGGTAGATATGTGAAGGGAGATACACAGATATGGCTACCGTAATGTTGGTAACTTTCCCTCTGTATGAACTCTTTTGTGTACGACTCCATCTATCGGTACGACGGTATGGGCATATAGACTCTATCTAAACCCGCGTGTCGAGGTATGCGTTCATATACTAATACATAATATGTATATCCTATTACGTACTCTAGTATGTGTACTCGATGCAGGACTAAATTCGATGTACCATATATGCAAATCACCTACACCCAGATATAAAACTTCAACCATCTCAAAACAAAAGCTTGTACATGAGAAACAAAGCAGACCTTACCTGTCATAGAGATGCACCCCCTCTCCATGAGTGAACTCAATATCTGGGCGGACGTATGTGCCCACTAAATACTTGAAGTTATCTCGTGCATTCGCAACACCACGTGACGAAATAGCACTGAGAGACTTCAGTGATGATGCATGTTTCACATTGCGACTGATTGAATACATCGTGAGATGGTAGGTGGGAGTGGTACTGTAGCTGCAACGCCGAGGGCTACTGTGGCACTTAAGCTTGGGATAGTTTTGCCCACGAGGAGATATGCACAGTGAGATTTATACTTACGACAGCATGAGAACACTCGACAAGCCAACTATCTACACAACCTACGCCTTATAGGCCTATGATAATTGAGAGACTGTCAACCACAGGCACACAGCAACGCAGCAGAGGCACACGCTCTTTTAAATTGATGACATGGAGCGAATGGCTTAGGCCCAATCAATTGGCACCATCAGATTAGGGGATCAGATAGAATAAACGACATTACATCATTCCCAAATGTTGTAAACTGCTTTCTGCATGTCGTAATTCGGATATTTATTTCAGGAATACCAATGTACTCTTTGTATTTTATACCAGTGATATAGTTACATCACCCTATTGTACGTTGTAACGTATACAAAGTTCGATCCCAATACCTTGTACACTTACGCTCTACGTTTACTTCGATGTGGTCTTTAGGTTGGTAATAAGGGTGCAATATTAAGATTATAAGGCGCAATATATAGGGTCTAATACCCCATATAGTACAATTATTTGTCACAATAGGTCCAGACCTGTCAATCTGTCGTGTATGCATACAACGGTTAAATGTCTCACCAATATACGTTTACGTTAAACGTATACACTGGACGACAACAACGAGCAGTGGTATATACAATTTAGAACATTCGAGTGTGTTCGCTGGTGTTCGATATTCTCGACAAGAAAAGGTAAACAGACAAATAAATAACGTCATATCTGACATCAATACGTTTTGCGTTAAAACGGATATACTTCTGGAGAGTACAGGTTTGCGTTAAACAGTTGTGTCTTTGTTGGCCCTATTGTAGCATCTATGGGTGCACCTTCGGAGCCCAGAGATGCAGAGGTTTCTGATGATTCTCCCAAGGGGTTCATACTAGGTCAATTGGTTTCTAATCTTTTGACCCGTTTATATGTTTACAATTCGGCTAAATAAGCGTTTACATTAAACTTCTATTTAGGACCCCTTCAACGGATTGAGGTTGACGCTCTGAACATATATTTATAATTGTGTCTGGCATTTACGTGGTGGTCGTGTGTACTGCCACTTCAATAGTCCGTTGTGGATCCTACTTGTTTTGAAGGTACTGGATTGTTTGACCATACGTTACACTATCTAAGTCAGCAGAGTATCACTCAACAGTTACCTAAGTTATCCATTGCTCTGAATTCATTCACCATGCCCGGACTGCTCGCAAAACCCCGTCATTTTATGACCCTCAAAGACTACAGTATGTTATACTTCATTGTCGTGTCCTATAAACTTATATATACTTATATATATATATATATATATATATATATTATGTATGTATATATATATATATATTATATATATATATATGTATATATATATATATATTATATATATATATATATAT